GCCTTAACTTGTAATATTAATATATTTCCAGATCACAATATGTTACATGAGGCATGTCAGTTTTCATGCAAGATCAGGTTGTTACATGTGCTACATACCTTAATTTAATGTCACTCAATTATTTTCATACGTTAAAGAACATATGGACAATCTAGACAGGGGATAAATTTTCATACACTATAATGATAAATTTAATGTGACTTTAATGTCCAATATGAGAGTTGGTTCGCTTTGTGGGTGTTACATTCAGTGATATATCGTGTGATTGGAAAAGACTCAACTTGGTGGTGGATTTCTCTGAAGGTCAATTGCACCTCACAGGCCCTGAAGACAGAAGTTTTTTATTGGCTAACCGAATCGCGAAATGCTTGTGCACTCATTCACATACGTAAATGACCCCAAAAGTTTAGGGTACGCCTTTTTCACCTGTGGCATGTTTCATTTCCAGGAGAAAAACCAACTCATATAGGATTACCGTTTGATCGATTTCAACTTAGCCCACTGAATTACCATTCCTTTCAGTAGAAAGCGTTCCTTGACATGACTGAATCTGACCACTTTATTATTGATATCTCTTAAGGAAATTTAAAAGAAGTTAAATACAGTTTCAGTTTGGAAAGGACAGGAGGCTTGATGACCTGCGTTAGCCCTGGCAATGGTGGTCTCTCAGTTAATCCAACTTTCTTTTGAATGAATCGACGGATGGAGCCTCAACCACGTGCTGAGGTAATGAATGCCGCTCGTTGATGATTCGGTGGGAACGTTGATAGTCAGCTGACAAGTAATTTGTTTTGGGCTTGTGAACTTTTTCGGAGTGTCCTCGTAAATTCTCTGTTTTGGAAGACAAGAAAAATGAGGGCATATCAGGTGCAAATTTGGCAATGAGCAATTTAAAAACTGTAATCAAATCGCCTCTAGTTCTACGATATGACAACGGGAATAGGTTTAGCTTGGCCAGTCGAGCATCATACGGAAGCTTCGCTATTCCGGGAATCAGCTTATTTGCTGTTCTCTTGACCTTTTCCAGAAGCTGACTGTCGTTTTTTAAGCAGGGGCTAGCCGCTTGTATGCAGTACTCAAGTTTAGGACGTACGAACACTGTATATAAAGTCAAAAACGTCTTGGCGTCGACATGTCTAAAAGCCCTACGTATTGACCATAAAGTTCTAAAACCTTTGGCAGCTATTGCGCTGCACTGTGCGGTAGTCTTTAAATCTTGGCTAACGATGACTTCTAAGTCATTGTGTCTGGACAACAGGTAGCTCAGTGTTATTCATCGTGTATGTATCTGTACCTTGATGACCGATATGCATCACAACACACTTGGAAGTATTTATCGGCAACTGCCAGGTTTGAGAACATTCAGATAATTTCTGCAGGTCATTTTGGAGTTCTAAGCTATCACCCTCATATCGTATCGTTCTCCATATCTTGACATCGTCAGCATACAGCAAGAGCGATGATAATAGGAGACGAGGAAGGTCATTTACATACAAGAGGAATAGCACTGGCCCCAAAACTGTGCCCTGGGGCACTCCACTAAGCACAGTTTCCCAGCTAGATAACTTTGAGTTCACCCGAACTCTTTGTTGGCGCCCAAATAGGAAGTATTTTATCCACATCAATAGATTGCCTCCGATTCCGACATTTCTTAGCTTATGTAACAGCCGGTTGTGCGGAACCTTGTCAAAAGCTTTGCTGAAATGAACGAAGGCTACGTCTACAGGTAACTTTTGGTCCTTAAGAGCGCACCAGCTTTCACGAGCCACTAATAAGTTAGTGAGACAAGAGTAACCTATTCTGAAACCGTGCTGCTTCTCCGAAAGGATCCGGTTTTTATCGAAATACTTAGACAGCTCCTTCCGAATAATCTTTTCTAAGATTTCAACAACCACACCAGTTAGGATAACGGCTCGGTAATTCCCAGGTTTACGTTTCGTACCTGTTTTGGAGACAGGACTTACTATGGCGTTCTTCCAGTCTTTTGGTAAACGACGGATAGATTAAAGCATATGCTTAAAGGGTTCGCAACGAAGTTAGATAATTCCTTCAGTAGCCCAGGATGCAATTCATCGAGCCCCGGGAATCTGCGTATGTCTAGCTTATTTAGCAGACCAAAGACATCGAGTTTTTTAATTGTCATGCTATCCAGTGTATGTGTGGGGTGAATTGTATGAAGTGACGGCAAGGGTGCTTCTATGGTATATACATTGCTAAAGTAGTTCGAGAACACGAGCCTTACCAAAGTCGTCCTCCACTAATGATGCGGCAGTACTGTCTCTCCATAGTGCAGGAATATTTCCTCTCCTTTTGTCCTTTGGCTTATATAAGAATACAAGCGTTTAGGACATTCTATGGATTCCTTAACAATCTTTTCTTCGTACAACTTTCTAGACCTACGGAGGGTCGAGGCACAGGTATTCCGGACTTTTCCATACTCGGATTTAGTTTCATCAGTCCCCAGTAACGTAAATCTATCCCACATTTTTCTTCTCTTACGGAGAAGGATGCGGACCTCCCTACTAAACCATGGTGGAGAGTTTCACGGCCCCCTTGGTATATTCCAAGGGATGTGGGGTGTGGTAACTTTTAAGTATAAATTTCAAAATGCGTCCCAAGCCGTTTCAATTGAGGACTCTGGGTCTATTGCCCAATCTACTAACGATGCTGAGTGCATGATATCTGGTATGTTTGCTTTCCAAACTTTAGGTCTAGATTGTGCTCGTGATTGACGGTTATATGGAAGTCGAAAGTTAGAACTGCGTGATCACTTTTACCTAGGGTTGGCATGTAATGGAGGTTCGCAACGTCATCCTCATAGTGAGTCAATATAAGATCTAGTAAGGATGATTTAGTATCCGGGTCGTACCTAGTCGCTTCTTTCACATGTTGCACTAGAGCACATGTGATAACCGCATCAACTAGTTCCTGCTCGAAGGAATTTTCTGACGATTCAGTTCGCAAATTTTCCCAGTCTGCCATAGGTGCATTAAAGTCCCCTAGGATTAGACATCGACCACTTTGTGACCAAGTATTGAGACTGCTTAGCAGGACTTCATTTACCTCACAGCTTGGACTGCGATAGAACAAACCAATCAGCAGCTCTTGTCCCTTGCATTTCAAGCGGAGACTAACTAATTCACACGTCCCACTCTCATGGGATACACTGTCGATAATGGCAAGTAAGATAGCATTCCTAATGAATAGAGCTACTTCCCCTCCTTTACGCTTTTGTGTTCTGTCGGCCCTTACTAACGTAAAACCCTCGAAATCAAGTTCCATACTATTTGTAGCCTGTGTCAGCCAGGTTTCTGTAACTGCGATTATGTCTGGCTTTGTAGAGTCAATCTGTACACCTTGTTCCGATCGCTTATTAAGTAAGCTCCGGGCATTAGTGTAGCAGATCCGAAGCCTATTTAAGTGGCTTCGTGCTTCACCCAGAGTGGCTTGGGGATCATTCTTTGTCGAAGCCTCACAACCCGAAAATTTACAATTCTTATGTCCTTTTCGCCAGCGTCTAACCTAAGTTGTAGTTCTTTCTCGGCTTCCCGTCTTTTTACACGGTCTGCCAGCTGCAAGTCCTTGCGGATAAAAACTCCTGAACCCTTTAATTTATGTCCATTCTGTAAAATTAAGTCGCGTTCATTCGGAAATTTGAATACTACTTTAAGCAATCTGGATTGGTTAGGCTTCAAGTTCGCTAGACTACCTAGTCTATACACCTTTAGCAAGGTGACCCCGGTGATATTTTGAGGCATGAGTTGATTAAGTAGCTGTTTAATCAGCACGATGTCATGCTCAAAACGAGCTTTAGGTTCAGAGCTCTCGCTCTCCTTGATTCTATGGAAAATAGCTGATCTGTCACTATGATCAGTTTTCGATTTTACGACTACTGTCGCGGGGGTAGGATCACCATTTATATCGCTGCTTTTTTCTTCCTTACAACCTGTACCCACTCGTCAACGGTGCTGGGAGAAGAAACAACAGCTGCGTCAAGCCTAGCGTTGGATTCTGGAGGGTTGTCGACGACCTGAGAGGTCAGGTTATGTTCACCGCTTGAAACCGATCGAGCCTTGCGATTGTGGCTTCTAGGCGTTTCCTGTGGGATCCCATCTGGGAGACGGGGAACAGAAGAACCTACTTTCCTTGAGCTTTTGTTTAAGGCAGGCCCCTTTAGAGACTGCTTTTCCTTCTTTGACCGGCGTGAGTCATCTATTATCGAACTAACCGTAGTTTGCTTCATTTCGATTTGTGTGTTGACAGATCGAGTGCTGTTTGACGTGTTCCGACTACGCTTGCTAAAACACTTCTTTGCAGCATCAATTAGTGAGATGGCCTCGGTTAACAGGCTGTTTGCATCCGAACAGCACTGTTGACAAAGCCAGACGCAACCCTTCTTACTGAACCGTTTGAAAGCCGCAGGCGTTAAGTTCGTGCAAACTTTTTGGTACCAGCGTTTGCACTCGTCGCACTGCATGCCGCTTTCAACGGGATAACGACAACCCGGACGATTTCAACTGCTTTTTTTACACTGTCCGGTCATTTAAAAGGAGTCCTTTTCAAAAAGGGACGAGATGCGATGATACTCAGAAACCAAAAATAATCAATGACCAAAAAGCGAAGAACTGTAGATTGTTAGGACCAAAAGTACTAACAGATACAATTGAAAATGAAGTACGCAAGAGTAGCAACGACAAAACTAATTGAGAGAACGGTAAAAACGGTACGCTAGTCGAATACTTTGACTGAAATGAATTCAATTAAATTGAAAACAGTAGTCTTGATAAGTAATAAACGATCAAAACAATGAAATTTACTCAGCGAGGAGAAATACCACTGTCCTTTTTAAATAGCGCTCACAGGTTATGGAAGGAATAGTCTATACTTATATACTTAGATTTTTAATTTGACTCTTTTGAACACTAGACGTGCTTTGGATTTTGTCGGACGTGTTTTAGCCCATTTATCTATGGCTACTAAAATGTGCGCACATATAAATTATGTCGGGAACGGGCAACAACGGTGGTTCGTCTCATTTGGTTTCTCTTTATCAAACACTCGAGCAGAAAGAGTTTGTCGGACAAGTAAGAAATTAATGATCGAATCCTCATACTAATTTAGGCAAATGTACTGTACTCTGTTGTATTAGTTGGAAAAATTTCACCGCACATAACTAACAATGAAGTTGGAAGTGAGTACTCACATTAAGACTTGACACAGTTCGATAGAATTTTATGAAAAGCTTACATCCAGTTTCACCCCGCCGGACCATATTACAGGTCTCTTGATGGTTTATCCCTATCACGTGATACACATTATTGAGGTATTTCCGCTAATGTCCCCACTGAGTTAGCCAGTCAAGTTTTAGAAGTTTGATGGAAGTTTTTCGAGTAATTGCTAAGTCTGAAGAAATCACAGAATCTTACATGAATCGTCACTCTGAACAGATAAATAAGAGTCATTGTGATGCTCAAGACTATCGACATTTCAGTGAGTTTGATAAAGTCATCATTCAAGAAATGTACACAAAAAACTCCTTGGCTCCTACGATTCATAATCGTGTCTTATGTGCGATCGATAATATCGTCCACCGTATATACCACACATATGAACTATTGGTTTTTGATATGGAACCAACAGTCATATCAGACTATGATTCAAATGAATCTGATGAGAAAAAGTTACTTGACTTACTAAGTCAAGTGATTAGACTAAGCGTACATCTAGCAGAAGAGTCCACGCGGGTAAGCTACATTGAGAAAACGAATATAAATTATGGTTGGTCAATGTGATATGTTCCCTCATATTTATGACTACATCAAAACCAAGCTAACTACCTTCTTTCCCACTAAATCCTGATAATCGTAATTCTAAGCAGTAGATTGTTTCTTGGACAAATCCCCTAATTTTTGATGAACTTTTGCTACTTCAACTTCATACTTTTAGTAAAATTTAACATGATCAAAGTTAAGATACTGATTATATTGTTATCAGGAATTCTTACGAAGATGTTACTAACAGCTTAAAAATTCACTTCCGCTAAAAATCAGCAACTCAGTTTATTTTCCATACCTACATTTAGATAACTAAGCAACTATAATGCTCATAATAATTACTTATTTAATTTATAAACGAATAAATGCCAATTGAGTATGAGCTTCTCTTATCATTGAAATTCTATAACATTCGATGTGCTTCTAGTAGAGGAAATTTTTAAGAACAGAGTTTGAACACTTAAAAAAATATGTTCTTAATAAATTGTACGATGCAACTTAACGAAGAAACCACTTCCAACAAAAGTAAATACTTGACGTTTTAAACAAACTTAGAGCGAGCATTCCCACCTATGGTATTTTAAATCTCAAAAGATACCTGCAGACGAGTAGTCAGTTTACCTGCATACAATGTGCACAGTCCACCTAAAGTAGAGTTCATACAGTTTGTGTCAATATTTAATCGAAATGGAACACACATCCCTAATTAGATAATTTTTGTAACAGCATATTAAAGTTAGTGGCTGGTAATCGAATCTAAGACGCCATTATTGACCTACTAAGGACCCGGTAGATTGATGTATGTGGGTCCCAACAATAAGAAAATTACACCAATCACTCTATTACTCGATAATGAATCAGCATTCCTAACTCTTGAAAACGTCATTGTTTTTGTTTCCCACCTGTCATCTAAAGGCTAGTTGAAGTAATCATAGATTAAATTCGAAGATGTAACTCGAATTTTTCATTCAATCCCCTGGGTGGAGTAATGTATGATATAATACTATAATCTCACCATTGATACTTTGTATTGAGATGTTCCTATGTAGAGTTAGTAAAATCTGAACGATTCCATATATTTGGAAAAGTGAGGATGTAGTGATCATAAAGTAAATTAACAAGGAGAACTGAGCGATACACAGTCTTGGTTCAACCTGCCTCCTATGCTCTTAAACAATAGAAAGGGTTTGACGACATTAGCCAGCTGAATGACAACAGCAGATATGAAAGTACTAATAGATATTTTTTTTGCACTTACTGGATAATTTATTGTGATTATGTGGAAAGTAGATTTAAATTTATTTGTACATAAGACAACAAATTAACACATAGATGTAAAACTACAAATATAGCTTTTGACCACGTGCAAGTGCTGAAATGAACTTAGAACAGTGATAAACTAGACAGTTTAACGAACGAGATTTCGATGGTTTCCATTACTTAGAGAAGTCCCTATCGAATATATGTCCATGAAACACATGGATTTCCATTACATTGAAACTTTCGGTAAACTTATTAGAGTAAAGAGCTGACAACCAACTTAAAGTAAACTTGGTATCTGTTTAGATAAAAAGTGAGGTTTTACATGTTATATTCAAATACTTTTGTGTTGTAATTAATTTTTGTTTTCTTTCACGCAGGTTCTAAACATAAATTGTTTAACTCTTGTGTCGCAACTACTAGGCGGTTCAAAGACCAAAAACCCATGCATTTATCAATTTTATGGACAGTCTAAAAACAATACATAGTTAGGAAGTGCATGCAGAAATAAATTGGAATTTGCGAAAATTTCGGAATTTTAATGGATTTAACATTATGTGAAATTTGGTCACTCATTTTTCCTAAACTGTTATAATGAAAAATAATTTACTTGAGTTGCACTGTCTGATCCCTCAACTTCATAACATTAATACGGCCTAGAAATGGTCCCTCACAAAACCATCATTACAGATGGAATACCTCAAAGGCCAAGCTTCGTAAGACAATAACAGTCATCAAAGCACTAGCCGTGTTACGTGACAAAGTTACGCACTTGAGTAATCTTTTCTGCAAAGCGAACATCATCGAAATTTATTAAGAGCATAATTGATTATGAAACTCGGATTTCGTAGGTCAATTATTAACCTATCAAATGAAGGCCTATTGGATTTACATATCACTCTCCATAACAGGAACAAATCTTGTATTATGTTATTTAATTTGGTGAAAACTAATTAATGTATTTTTAGTAGAGTTAAAAAATCTGTCATAAACGATTATCTCCAACCTTTTTTAACAAAGTTCGGCAATGACATTGTCGCAATTATCAGTATGCTAATTTTCAACTGTTGAAAGCATTTTTCAAAAGACTTCTATTTTTTTTTTATCACAGGATCAAGACGAATACGTTCCCGAAACTTTTAAAGTAAGTTTAACAGAGAAAACTAAGAGTCAGATTGTTGGTCATTTCAAGGTATGTACCAATGTAAGTAATATTATAAGTAGTAGTTCATTTGTGTATTGGTTGTTCGGATGTTCCCACTGATGTTTAGAACTGCAATTAATAAGTCTCTTATTGTTACATGTGCATCCTGTGCGGATTGCCTCGATATCGCCATAAGCATTGTAAGCAGAGATGGATATTGGCTAGTACTGGAGTTGAGGACACGTGTCTCGTCTCATTTAGAACTCGTCAGCTGAATCTACCTGCATCCGAGTTGATGTTCACTCCAAGACTCGAACCCAGTACCTTTCCAAACTTGAATAGATGATGGGGTAGCAGTTCATATATTTTGATTTCGATTACATGTGATAATGAACCAGATTTTTTCAACGTAATGCAATTAACGGCATGAAGAGTATATTGAGTCCACACAAAATGTATAAAACGGAACTATCAGTATCTTTACAGTGGCAAATTCATTAATTTCTCTGTCCTAATCTTTTGTTGGGTTTACGAAATAAAATATCTACGTAGTATGGATGAGTTGTGAAACCATATATGTTTGCTGCAGGATGATGCTAAATGACTAAGTTTACTTAGCGTCGTAACTTTATATGAATGAAATGCTATTGATTTTTACTTACTGTCAAGATGATAAAACTTCATCATAATATCTGTTAGATTAAGGCACTCGGATTACTGAAAAATAAGAAGCTGGTCTGTTGTGGCCTATCTGCCAAGCACACGCTTGTGTACTCGAATATGTGCTATACTGTTTGTGTGCGCTGTTGCTATTCAACTACCTAAAATGAATTAAGTGGGTTTGGGCTCGAACCTACCACTTATTGGTTGGGAGCTCAGTGGTTCAATCACTAAGCCAAAGTTCCACCTGAACTCAAGAGTCCTTAAAGACACAACCCCACATTGGTATTTTAAAATACTTGAGCTTAACTATGCAGGAAAGTTTTGTGTTGGTTTCAGAGACCTAAGTAAAGATAGTTAGATGTAGATAAGGCTTTACAAAAAGAAAAATAAGATATCTCTATATGAAGTACCACAAATATAAACCAGACAAAAATTAATTGGCGTAAACCTAGAAGTGTGATAGGACTGTATTTTTAGTTACGTTTAAAGTAAACGTAAGTAGTCGCAAGCGAAGTACGTTATATTTTAAAATTTGTCGGTTAAACTAAATCAAGCACTAAACTCTTGGTTATATGAGTAGTATGAATGGTATCGTTGTTAATGACATTTGCGACTCCTAAAAAATTAAAACACGTAGTTTTTACATTTTTAGCGGAAGTTAACTGGAATATTGAATAATATTCGTCAAGTACGCCCAGAGCTGATTCCACAACAAGGTAAGTTGGTTATTTTGAAACAATTTATGTGCAAAAGTCGCATATCAAGGTCAGTAGTTTGTTCATCACTGGAGCATGAAAATTACTCCAAAAGTGTGTACATATATACATATTGCTGTGCGATTCGATTATTAATCAAGTAAAGTTCTTACTTAATTGTACTTGCAGTTAATTCGATTTTACAATACGCATTTCATATCCTATGGATTATACTGCTCAAACAAACTTTGGTGAATCAGGTCAAAGCTAGTTTTGCCAAAGCTTCGAGAGTGCTGTGGGATAAAAGGAAAGGCATCTAATTGTACATGGCCACATTTTCCCCCTTAAAGAAGTAAAATGAACATATTAAGAGCCATTCATTCATTCCAAATAAACAAACGTATTGTAGGAAGCCAAATTGACGCAACCAAATAAACTAATTTAAACTTCTAAACGCTGTGCATAATGTTGCAACAAGCGCCTCATATAATTGAGTTAGAAGTTTAGTATTGGATCGGTTGAAGACATTTATTGAAAAACAATTTGCACATGAAAAGAGGTTGTCATTTACAGATTTTAGGAGCGGTGGAAGTATAAAGTTCGTGAGTGTACCGCAGCTGGCAAATGATTTCCTTCCTTTCTAGGAAACACTATCAGTATGTTCAGTTATTTTCTTCTGGTTAATTTTAATTGATGTTTATACGACATATAAAACTGCATCAATTCGATTATAAGGATCACTTTACCAACCAAATCAACATTATGTACTTGACTCATGATACTATAATTTCTTGTTACGAAATTAAGCGAGTTTTCGATTCTCCATCTCTTAAATATTTGTGGTTACTTACAGCTTTAAAGAGATTATAACGAGTGAATTTTATATTTAGTTGCAGTTGGATATTTTGCGGACATATCTTGTTACGAAGGCATAATACCATTAAAAGAATACATGAAAGTCTATGACATTCCGTATGAAACCTCATCACAATCGGGTAAATGTAAATTTTTATGCTACGTTGTAGGAAGTGTGATTTTCTGATAATCAATCCTGACATCAATCCAAATAACAACCTTACCATCCTTATTCTGATACAAAATTAATGAGAAATGCTTTATTTTCGTAATAGCAGTTAACGTTCATTTATCTTGCAACATTATCGTATGTGGTAATTTCCTCAAATAGTTATTAAAAAGAATTTTCCCATCTGTTGCAAGTAGTTTTCTTAGCTGGACACACAAAAGCCTAATTCTATACAACTCGTGTAAAGTGTATACGTTTATTAGCAGTTCACGTAAAAACATCTGCAGATAATCTGGAACCGACTTTTGAGAGAAGTGGTTCAGTTTATAACCATTATCATCAATATTTCCCGTTTAGTCCTTATCTGGTGAGATATTTGATCTAATAACGAATGTGTAGTCGGTTACACTAACATATCCCGGTTTTCTGTGTTTAGTAAAAGATTTGAAAGTAACGCTTAAGTCTATCAACTGTAATAAGACTTTACGGAAGTAGAACTATATGAGAAACGGTGCAGATGAATGGAAGCACATATCACCAAGGAAAAAATGAAGCAAAACTCCCCAGGAATATCAGTTAGTCATTCTTGTTCCCAAAAGGTTCAGAAGATGATTTTAAAGCGACGTATTAATACAAGATGAAATATATTTTATGATAAAACTACTTCAAGATAATATACTTCGAAGATCATATATATTAGGCGAATTTCCCGAAGCATATTCTACGATATTATTTGAGGGATTAGAGGCTTTTCATTCAGCTAACAATAAGACCTAGATTTCCATGTCAACAACATTGACAGAGTATGACTGGACGAAATATTACAAAAGGAAACCATTCACATCAAAGCTCCCAAACTTGTCAGGTAGTTTTATGTAGTCAATGATCGTTAGTATACAATTATAAAAGTCGACGTGTTTCTCTTTCGTTTCAGAGCTTACATGGCCGATCGAAAGAAATTCTTTTATTTACAAATAAGAATTCTAAAAACAATACCTCTGTATCAATGACAGCTTTATGCCGAAAATTCTGGTTACCATTTGAAAAACTGTACCAATTATAAAAGAAGAAGCAATATTTATGCAAGCCCAATAAGTAGAAAGATAACATTCTATTGAAAAATCACTCAATCCGTTCTAAATAAAGCTGTACTAATTTATTTATAAGTAATGAATTGTTTCAGCGTTAAGCTAGTTCTTTCTATTATCTTTACAGGTTTAAGAGAATGTGTCTAATCAAATAAATAATAAAACTCCCATGAACTTAAGGGTATACAAGGTGAAGCTGGAGCTTACAATGTGAGCTATATTTTCATTGAGATCATGAACCGATCAATGTTAGACCACCACTGAAAACCTGGACGGCCGTCTCGTCCAAGTATGGGACTCATCAGCAGAGCGGATCCACGATCCCGCGTAACCTCTAGAACAATGAGCACGCATCCAACGGTGTTATTGTCTAGCTTGAGTCGGTCCATGATCTTGCGCGACCATACTAGGACAAAACGGCCGTCTAGTACTTCCAGGTTTTCAAGTGAACAATTCAAGGCTACAATACGTACCTTTAATCAAGTAATATAAAAAAAACTATCATTCAATCACAATAAATAGCAGCAAAACGGTTATATTTAAACTATCATATTTGGTGAGTTCGTTAACGAAACGAATTGGATCAAAAGTTGTAGTTCAGTTGGGAGCACTATTTCGTGAATAAAACAGTCAGAACATGTACCTTGTGTTAGTAGTACCCGATGATGGTGTTTAGCGATTATCATGGTGTAAAAGTGCTGTAATCCTCCAAATATCGTTCGAATTATCTGACAGGAATGGTTAGGGTTAGTTCGTTAACTGAAAACAGGTAACTTTTTTTACCACCGCCTTAAATGTGTTTTCTAATTCATGATATATGGTCTAATCCAAGGTAGAAATTATCGGTGTAACGGCTTAGCTATCATATGTAGAAAACCGTAAGTCTAGTTTCACAATAAAAAAGGAAGACCTAAGACCGTAAGATCAAAAGAAGTCATAATCAGCCAAACAGTGCAATAATATTATAAATTAATATATTTGGCTTACACTGAGTCAGGAAATGTCAGAAAATCTAATTTTTCTTCTCATTGGGACATTAAAAATATTAATTTATTTATAACAAAGTATCTAATACTCAATTTATTCGAAATTATCAGGTCAAACCTTAGTAATGATACCTGCAAGTGAAATAACATTAGTTACGAATCACATGATCTGTGAAACCCATAACATCGTTTTTACATTTAAGCATTTGTCCCTAAATGTTGACAATGCTCATGTTGCTACCTCTCCCCCATTAAATATTTTGAATTACATCCAGTTTCGTGAGGACCTTCAGCACAGTAATAATTCATCAATACGAGCTTAGTAATGACATTTGTATACTCAACAGATGAGTAGTTCCTCTGATACATTTCATAGAACTTGCATGTAGATAGCCAATATTTATGATCAACAAAATATCAGTCCTATAGGACTGAAAGAAACGTAGAACATCACAAAATCTTCCGGACAATTTTCACCGCTCTGCACACGAACGTTCTTTATTAAACACAAAGACTTCTCAGTTTGTCAAGATTACCATTGGAGGACATATCTTTAACTAATGATATATGCTACTGAATTTTTTATTTTCTAGATTTGATCCTTGGTAGGATTGTAGACACGCACTCGAGTCATATACCAGGACGAAACATAACTCATATCAATATGTGTTATGAAAGTGTCAATAATAAGGTCAAATATATCAATATTAATCCGTCAATTTCTTTGTTTATGTTTCTCCTACCCACAGATGTTGCGATAATCATGCTAGAAACATTGGTGTATAGATTATTCGATACATACGAAAAGGAAAGCGATTCACATGAATAAAGCAATCACGTTATAATAATTTCCGTCAATAATAGGAGGCATTTCAAGACAACAATCACCCCAGAAACTATGGTTTACTTGGTGTTTACAACCAAAAATATGTTTTACAAAACTTCAATTTATATCATCCACTAAACAAAATGGCTCTTACAGTCAACTAGGATTAACTAACTTATTATCTCTGGAGAGATGAATAAAACAAAAAATAACAAAAGCTTTAATAATAGATAACCGGAAAAAAGGAATGTCCTGAACCCCGATCGTGGCCGAAAACGAAGAGAAGATTGGCATCTAAACCAGAATATTGACTGAAAGGCCCACAAGCTGACTGAAAGCATTAAAAAAGCTGGAAGCAACTAACCGAATCGATCCTGAAAAAATGCACCCAAATGTAAATATACAAATTTTAAGCGATAATAAAATATGTGCTTGTAAAAGAGGAATAATAAAAACAAACACTCGGCATCAATTGGGAAGCAATGAGTTGGTAATCTGACAGAAAGTGGATTACTGCTTCAAAAGTTGCTCCACATACCAAGGTTGGAATAACCAATGAAAGGGACTTTGGGTCAAAAGCTCTCAAAACAGATGGATATCAACTTGAACGATTACATCATAGACAGTAGCCAACCTTAAAATATTTATTTGGCTGGCCTCCTTTTAAGTGCTAGACTGTTTCATGAAATGTCCAAGAAAGTAAAGTACTATCACATTTCTACTTTCGAAATCCATGGTACTTTGAGGGCTGTTAGTGAGCGACGTGACAGCTATGTCTTACTGTATAGTTTACCTCAGCAGGCTGCTACTTTGATTACTATTCAATTTAACCACCAAACTTTGACCATTTATTTGTAAGCCTTTCAGACTATTATCATTTCGTTGGTCAGAAGTCTCGATCAGTTTACGATGGAAATTATATGACAATGTCTCTTATCACTAAAATAATTTGGTGCGGACTCGCTAACCAAAACCATTCAATGACAAATCTGTTCGTCATAAATAATTCTTTCTTTATTGATTTAGGTAGCCTGTTTTGTTTAAATGTCAATTTTAATAAACATGTCGCATTTTGGTCTCAACTAGATAAATAGTTACACGTACCAGTTTACTAATCTCTACAACAGTTGTGCAAGTGATTCAAAGAGACGAGCCTGAAAAATCATATGGTATTATTAGTCCTCAGGTAACAGATATAGAGCCATCATGAGAGTACAAACAACTGTTAGTGAGATCAATAACTCGTGTAGATATTACTTCTTGAGGGAAACAATTCAAAAGCATTCGTATTTCCACAACAGTAAACTGTGTTGAATAAATGAACAGACTGATATATAATACGTAGAATTATTGCATTCTTTAGTAGTAGAACAACAGAGTAGTATCTTTCATTAAACACCTCAGTAAAATTACCATCGAACAACCAAACAGTTCGTTTGGAACTGGGTTCAATATCTATGAGATGGAAAGGATTATTTATTAGCAATCAACTATTCCGATCGCGTTACTTGCAACGGCGAATAATATTAAGAAACGATTCAAAACTATTCCACACGGTTCAGTCTTAGCGTATAATCGTCAATTTTTGTCATCAAAAACGTTAATGAACAATGTGTGCAGTACTTTGAGGAGTATTCAATCGATCATACTTTTCAAAAAATAGTCAAAACACATCTAATAATCAGTATTTATCTAACTGAACTTACTTGAAGAGTGTGTACTACGTCAGTTGCCAGATTTGACAGCCGTCCAGCAACTTTAGTTACACTTTGCTTGACACCATCTTTGATATTTTGTAATTCATTAGATACCTGAGACTGTCGCACTTTAGGATGACCAAAATAATCATCACTCGAAATAGATGAACTCCCATGAAATCTTGAGAGCCCATCAGATTCAGACTAGTATAAGTGAAAAACAAGTGAATAAATAGATATCGCACATATATAGAACCTTCGAAGGATAGAAAAACAAACATAAAGGCTGATTAATTCAACTATCACCTTTCAAAGAACATAGTTTTTACATAATGATAACTCAATTACGACGAACTGAACTTCTTAAAAACATGTGAACATAAATAAAAAGATATTTTATTAGTTTTCTAGAGAGAATGACGCAGGCAACTTGTCTATTAAGAATAAGCGAGATAATTTGATCTATACAGACAATTGTTAACATAACTTGCACACAATTTGCAGCAATTTCAAATATAGATGCTACTCTTGTTTGTTATAATGTCACACCGGTTTATATAAACTGGAATGCGTGTTCCTCTTTGATTGCATCCATATTCTTTGGACAGAAGGCACTATTCGGCTCTGCTAATCAAGAGATTTTTCATAGTATCTGTCACCGTAATATGTAAAAAGAAATAGATCAACTTACTGAGGGCTTTTTATTGGAAAATATTTAGTCGGACCAAACTAGCTATGACAGATAGTATAAAAATAACGTAACATGACTGAGATGGTTAAGCCATTAGCAACACATCCTAAATTGATGTCATTCAATCACTTATAGCACTAACTCATTTATCTAAGCGTTAGTATTTTGGAAATAGCCAGGCTATTTTACTAAAAAAAAAAGCCTAATCTGCTGGGGATTTATTTCCTCTTTTGCTATTTGTTGTTTGGGAGGTTTGTGTCAATAATCTCATACATAGCTATTACTCGACCAAATCGTATTATCACATTTCACTAATTGATTAACATTCATTTATAATACCAATCCAAAACACATTCACATTGTAAATCAAAACGTTTAATCTACAACAGGTGACATTTGGTTGTAGATCAGTTGTTTTAATTGTCATCATCGATCAGCCCAACTTAGTTGAACAAAATAGTGGTTAGAAAATAATAAACGAAAGGTGATGTTGTAATATTCATATGTTAAAATTTATCCACAGCTTCGGAGCCAGTTAATAGAAAATTTCGCGGCTTTACGTAGAGAATGGTCATTTGTGAGTTATGAACATTTGAGTTAACAGCTCAAAAACATTTGGTTGTTCATATCGTTGTAAGTCAACACGAGACAGCCATTGAATCTGAGGAAAAGTGAGTATCTTGAATTTTAGTATTAATAGTGGAAATGAAATCAGTAAACAAAATAAACATATCAAGAACTAACCGAAGATACAGGATGAAAATTAGTGAGTTCTGATAAGACAGAAATGATTATACACAAAAAATCTGGTGTGACTCTAAAGGAGTGTGAGAGTAATGGGAGGAACCGAGTCAACTATCAAGTATTTCTGTATTCCGTCAGTCATTTCAGATGTTATCTAGTAATAGAAAGAATTTTCGAAACAATCTCGCTGTTCAGACAAGTCTTTGACATGAAAACACGCTTAATTATCTTAATTCTGTAGATGGTGTCCAACTAAATATACATCTTACAAAAGTATAGGGATAAATAATGTAACCTTTCATGATTACGATATAAATAGATTCTTCAAACTACCAATTTCTATGAGAAACGTAGGCATGTAAGGAATCTTCAAGGATTGTCAGATATAGGTTATGGCAGTAATACGATGTGAACTTAAAAACCAAAGATAAACATATTAGTCCATTTAGGCTTACATCATTTCGGTCAAAAAACGCATCCGACGATATAGAAGTCGCATTGGCAAACTTCTTCATTAATTCACTTAGATCTGGATTAGTTTCTGATTGTTTAGACGAAAGAGATGTAGGCTGTTTGCTGGGTGATTTAGTTGGAAATTCATCAGCAACAGTAGACAAATCACGTGTTCTGTTTGGCTTTTGATTAAAAGGATCTGAAAAATGCCCATCCCAGTCATTGTCCCTTGATTTATTTTTTGACCATCCGCCATTCATACCATACGTCGCAGAGCCTCCTTTAGGAAGTAAATAACACGGCATTACGTGAGAAAATCAAATATTAACAAACCTTAGTGGAAAGAGAAACTTACATAATAAGAATGTGAAGGTAACAATTTGTTCATTTAAAAAAATGCACTACAATCAGAACCACTAGCTATAAGTTGGTCTGAGGGGCACCATAATAACAGTAAATGCAAATAGTTTAGGAAGTATATATGGCCAAAACTTCAGCTACTTTTATATGTGTATTACATAACGCTAAAATTGTATAAAACTAACAAATACAGTTTTTAATTAATCATCATTACTGAACTTTTGATATTTACCACAGAATAGTATAAAAACCTAATGGCAAAAACCAAAAGTGTCACAAACCGAATAAATTATCATCTCCAGAATCGAAAAAATTGCGTGTATCACGGTCTCTATTACTGTAACTTGAAATGAAGAAAGGGTCCAAATTTGAACTTAGTGATGAAGTGTGGGTGGGAGCCGAGTTTTCTTGCTCTATTTTTTGAATATTAGCAAATGCTGAGTGCGATATTTCTCTACAAAAAAATGGATATATAGATTAGTGGATACTCGTTCAAGTGAAGGGATCAAATTGTTGTTTTGATAATTTAAGAAGTATTTTCATTATCACACACTAATGTACAGTTGCGACATCGACGGAAACTACTTAACTATCGGTGAAATGATCAAATACAATCACATCATAAGTGTTGTCAAGACGTTTAGAAACAAGAAAAGTAAACAATGCGTAATAATTTCATAATTACCTAGTCTGAATTTTCTTAAATGAAATCATATGGTACATTTAAACGCAAGGAAAAATAGTTAATGAACCATGTAGAATATAGTCTTTAACAACTCTTAAACAGTTATATATATTTTTTATTCAGGATTTAATCTATTTCTAAAATTTTCTTGATATGAATAGCACTATACACATAATTTTAAATATAAATATGCACCTCATATCTTCTTAAGTTATCATTGTTCTATCGAAATTTATAAAAGGGACTAATTGCTTTAAAAGATAAACCATTGCATATATATATATATATATATATATATATATATATATATATATATATATATATGTCTCAGGACTTTTATTAGCACTATGCTTCGAATGCATGTAACTCCGCTAGTAGCTTTTCTAGAGTTACTGCCGGTCCCAAGCCCAGGTAAAGGACGGGGTTGGGCATGGGGTCAGCAACCATATCCTGCAGAACAAAACCTTGCTGAACAGCGCGAACCAGATTAAACTCTGACCTCCGAGTTCAAGGAGAAATTAAGACGTCTCAGAATAAAAGCCGAGATTCTTGCGAAGTCAAGAGATCGATGCCCCTTTTAACAACCAGAACAATATTTTCTATAGGTACATGGAACATCCAAACAATGTGGAAGACCGGGAGGACAAGAAAAATGGCAACGGAAATGAGATACAACTTGGCAGTACTCGGAATCAGCTAAACCCATTGGACGCAATCTGGACAACAAAGGCTAAATACGGGAGAGATGCTCCTGTACTCCGGTCACAAGGAGGGAAATGCTCCACACACTCAGGAAGTTGCTCTGATGCTGTTCAAAGAAGCACGTAATGCACTCATAGGATGGGAATCTCACGGATCCAGGATCATCAAAGCATCCTTCAAAACAAAGAAGGAGGAAATCGCGATGAGTGTTATCCAATGTTATGAATCCACCAATGATAGCGAAGACGACAATAAAGATCCGTTCTATGAGAGGCTGCAGTCAATCATAGCGAAGTGGTCAAGATAGGACCTTAGCATCCTGATGGGAAACCAAACGCAAAAGTCGGAATGGACAACATCGGGTGTGAAGATATCATGGGACAACATGGACTAGGAGAAAAGAACGAGAATAACGAGAGATTTTCAAACCTATGTGTATTCGAAAAATTGGTTATAGGCGGCACAATATTCTCACACAAACATATACGCCGAGCTACATGGGTCCCACCGAATCACACCACGGAGAACCAGATAGATCATACTGGTATCAATAAAAAATTCAGACGGACAATCGAAGACGTGAGAACCAGGAGAGGAGTTGACATAGCTTCGGATCACCACGTGGCTGTGGCCAAGATGAAATTGAAGCTAAAGATGCAATGAACAACTCGGGAAACAGCATTACAAAGGTTTAATGCAATCTTCCCTTGAAATACTGAAAAACTCAACCCATTCAAGATAAATTTTAACAACAGGTTACAAGCTTTACAAAATCTACTCAAACAAGAAATTACTAAGCAGGATAAGTGAAAAAGGCTTAAAGAAGCACTAACTTCAACCTGTCAGGAGGTTCTGGGCAGCAACAAGCACCATCATAAGGAATGGGTCTCTATCGGAAACCTAAATGAGATTCAAGAAAGTAAGAACAAGAAGAGAACAATTAACAACAGCCGAACAAGAGCAGAGAAAGTCAAGGTACGCGCCGAATACATAGAACCAAACAAGCAAGTGAAGAGAAGCATTAGAGCTGACAAGTACAAATATATGGAAGAGCTAACAACGACGGCAGATAAAGCTGCAGGAGGAGGAAATATGGAACAACTATATGACACGATGAAGAAACTAGCAGGGAAATATAGTAAAACAGAGAGACCAATCAAGGACAAAGGAAAGCCAATCACCGAGATTCAAGGACAGAACGCAAGCCTCTTGTATACTGTCCAAAATCATTTAAACCATTTGATTTATCTTGATATGTTTATCATCAATTTGGTAAACTACAGCATTTGAGACCTACAGATGCATCACAAAACTATCGGTACCGGGAAAAGTTTTCAACAGTGATTTTGATCCGGATGAGGGATTCAGTGAACACTCAGCTTCGAGATCAACAGTTCGGATTCCGTAAAGATCGATCATGAGCAGACCAAATCGTGACACTACAGGTCATTGTTGATCAATCAATGGAATGAAAGTCGTTACTATAAACTAACTTCCTTGACTATGAGAAGGTATTTGGCAGAGTGAATAGGAGAACCTTATGGAACCTTCTTCGACGTTATGGTGTACCTAGGAAAATCGTCAACACCACATGAAATTCATACACTGCAAAGTGGTGTATGAAGGATAGCTAACAGATGCATTCTAAGTAGAGATCGGTGTCAGACAACACTACTTACTCTCTCCCTTCCTCTTTCTTCTGGTGGTCGACTGGATTATGAAGACCTCCACATCTGAGGGAGAGCTCGGAATACAATAAACAGCTCATGATCAATTAGAAAATTTGGACTTCGCAGATAGCCTGGCCCTTTTATCCCATACACACGAACCAGCGCAGATGAAGACAACTAGTGTAGCAACAGCCTCTGAAGCAGTATGCCTCAACATACACAAGGGAAACAGCAAGATCCTTAAATACAACACAGAGAACACCAACCCAACCACACTTGATGGAGAAGCTCTGAAAGATATAGAATCATTCACGTACCTGGGAAGTATCATTGATGAACAAGGAGGATCCAACACAGACGTAAATGCGAGGATTGGCAAAGCAAGGACCGCACTCCTACAATTCAAGAACATATAGAACTCCAAACAATTGCCAACCAACATCAAAGTCAGAATCTTCAACACGAACGTCAAGAGAGTTTTACTGTACGGAGCTGAAACTTGGAGAACTACCACAACCATCATTAAGAAGTTACAAGTATTTATAAACAATTGTATACGCAAGATACTCAATATCTGTTGGCCGGATACCAGCAGCAACAGCCTACTGTGGGAGAGGACGAACCAGTTTCAGATGAAGAGGAAATCAGGACAAGATGCTGGAACTGAATAGGAAACACACACACTTAGAATACTGAAGGGAAACGGAAAAGAGGAAGGCCGAATGACACAGTGCGTCGGGAATCGGAAGCAGGTATGAAAAGGATGAATAGCAAATGGAAAGTTTTGCCAAGTACATGGTTGAATCGAGATTGCTGGTGGGTAGCCTATGCTGCTACACGAGGGGTAACAGCGTAATTAACTAAGTGTGAATGATAGTAGAAAACAAGGTTGATAAATGATTTAGAAAGTGATAATTAGTATCAGAAGGATTTTTTGTGGATATTATAGTAATCTCAGTAGTTGATATCATGGTGTGGTGTGGGTTACTTATATCCACACAAGTAATATATAACGGTGGTAGGGCATAGAATGTATTTCAGTAGAAGGTCGATGAGGAAAGAACGGGAACGGAACGCAATTGGTATGAAAACGCATGAACAATGATATCTGAGACAATGGATTGATGTTTGCGACAGGAACAGTCAAGTTTGATATGATGGATTGATATTTTGCAAGTTAACGATTTACTATATGGTTCTCAGATTTTATTGAGATTCTCTGTAATTTTGTGCTCAAATATATTCGATTGTTCCCACTGGTGTTCTTGTTCACTACAATGGGTCAATTGAAGCTAGACCACCGTGGAAAACCTGGAAGCATTGGACAGCGGTTCCGTCCGATTGTGGGACTTCTCAGTAGCGCGCATCTACGATGCTGCCTCACGACGCCGGATCGGTGGTCTAGAGGTTGAGTGTTCGCGCACGAGACCGATAGGTTCATGGTTCTAATCTCGCGAGGCGGGATCGTGGATGCGCACTACTGAGGAGTTCCGCAATGGGACGAAACGGCCGTTCAGTGCTTCCAGGTTTTCCATGGTGGTCTAGCTTCAGTTGACTCATGATCTCAACTACTGAAAAGTAACAACGGTTAAACTAATCTTGTATCAAATTCCATAAAATAATGAGACCGGAATTTATATTAGCTGGAAGTAGAGGAAAGAGAAAGAAATACGCTATAATTCAGTTAATATATTTGCAGTTCGCAAAGCGATTCAGAACTTACGAACTTACTTACCTGTTGCCTGTACCTATTTTACCCATACCAAGGCGTTCAGCTTGTTTGGCACGTTGAGAGTCTGTAGACTTCAAGTTGGCAGTGTCTTGACTTTCACATCCATCGGTAATATCTTTATACGCTAACCGAATGGACGCACTAAAAAAATTTAAAAAATTTAATTTGCAATCACTTTAATCTACGCCGTTAATGACGTCATATGCATCTTTTCAGCTTATGGGGTGATAATTATTAAAATATAGTAGTTATGAAATAAGCTTTTAGTCAGCTAATCCTTTTTAAATATAACCGGATATTTTAGTAGGAAATACTTACAGTCGTTCTTCATTACGTTTTTCCTTATCTTCTAAATCCTGGTCAATTGAACGAATCTGACATTTTTTTTCAATATCAACACGTTCGGCAGCCGAAACGATGGCAGAGAAATCAGCTTTCACCTTTGATGCCCCCAATCCACCTTTTTTAGCACTAGACTGAACGAAACATTTGAATTTACAGAAGAAAAGGGATATAATCCGTTCAGAAACGTATGAAATATGAGGAAATACAATTGAAAAAATTTGTGTGAAAGACATATAATAATAATTATTGTTATTTGAACATATAGATATTGGTACAAGGAGGCACCAAATACATATGCGCCGCACAAATCTCATTTGATTTGTGTGAGGGCTGTGATACTTCTCGGGTGCCTAAACCAAAGCAGGTGGTTTTCCTAGGAGGCCACACCTCGAGCCTTTGACCTAAAGGTCTGATCCTTAAGGCAGTGGAGCATCGTAAGGAGATGCAGTCCCATGATAGCCAGTGACCAACGACTGATCGATGGAAGGTGAAGCCGATGGCTGTAAAGGAACAAGAGTATGAAGAAAGAGAAAATTTTAATACATTAAGACCATGATAGAAGAAGAGGTTGTAACACACAATTCTGGTTTTTCCAGATGTATGGTTATTGCTTCGGCAATGCAGAGAAGATGCAGTATGATTGTCTTAGGAAGACTTCTACTCACCTTGTAGATGACTTTGAAGGCAGAGTCTGTCTTGATTGAGTGACCTGTGTTCACAAGGTGTTCGATTATAGAACTTCTTATTGAACCGTTGTCTCCTCTTTTTAGCCACGCCAATTAATGTTCTTGAATTCTTTTGGATAAAGTACGCATCGAACGACCTATATACCTAGCTCTACAAGAGCAGGTAAATTGGTAAACGCACATTGAGTTGGTCGGATGTGATAATTTATCTTTCAGATTATTGGTGAACATTGGTCGGCTGGAGAATAATAATAATAATATTTATAGACAGAAGGACGGTATGGCAATTGGATCCCCTCTGGGTCTGTTACTTACAGATTGTTTCATGGCCAGTTTAGAAAACAATCAACTGGAAGCGACTATAGAAAAGCTTCACTTGTATAAAAGATACATAAATGATATCTTTATCGTTTGTGAAAACAAATATGAAGATATCTAATAATTCCCACCCATCAATAAAATCCACATTAGAGGTTGAAAACAAACAAAATATTCACTTCCTTGATGTGGTAATGACAAGAAAGCAAGACGGTACCTTAAAAAGATCTGTCTACAAGAAATCCATGTGGAATTCCATACAATCACTTAAATAATTGATTTTAGGTATTACGTTCGGCCCTATCTGGAAGTCTGCATCCCACAACATGGCTCAGATCAACCGTATCTTCACATATATGTCCATATCTTACAAGCATGCGTGAACTGGGAGACGTGATAAGTCGCGGAATGCAACCGCCAATTCAGATACCCTCCGGTAGGCTGATAACCCTCAACAACAGGAATGCTATATTGATTTCGAACTCCATTGTGTGCGGTTTAATAGGTTGTGATTAATTCGAAGTAAAGGAGAGCAGTACATCAAGAACATTAATTGAACTGATGGAGACAGTATTCGGGTTTTGGAATTATTTATTTTTATTTATTTGAACACATAAATATTGGTACAAGAGGGCACCAAATATATACGCGCCACACAAAACAATCAGAATTCGAAGAGAGAGAAAAAGAACAATAATGAACAGATTAGTGTAAGGTAGTGTAATAGTAATAAAAAAAATAATAATAGTAATGATGGGGGAAACGGAAAGGTACAATCATAAAAAATCCTTCAGTTAAGAAAGAAACAACCATTTTTTTATGAAAAAAGTAAGGGAAGGTTGCAGCAGGATCGCCACTGGCTTCTATTCTGAGCCATATCTGATAACGTCTCTAGTCACTGTGCTGCACCATCTCTCGGACCCCAGCCAGGGAGTCATGGAGGACCAACAGAAGCCAGCCCTTTGGAGCTTTCTTTCATACCACGACACCATGTCATACACTGACCACCTCTCCGCTTTTTCCAACCAGTCCCAGCGTCGGCAAATAATGCGCGACGTGGAGTTCTCTGGGACGACATTCGTAGAACATATGCAAGCCACCGAAGTCGATGTTTCAAAATGGTGACACCAATTGCATAATCATCTCTGTCCCCGAACACACGATGCCGAACCTCTGTATTTCTAACATGGTGTTGCCACTGGATGTCAGCAATCCTTCAGAGACAACGATGATCAAACACAGAGTCGTATAACATTCTCAACTCCGAGGGGCCAGGTTTCACAAGCATAGAGCAGAACTGCTCTCACCGACGCTATTGTATATCCGACCATTTACAGTCAGACTAACATCACGAAGGCGCCAAAGATGGCCCAGATTGGCATAAACTGCTCTGGTTTTCACTGTACGTGCATTGATCTCATCACTCACGCCACCACCAGCACTTATGCAGCTACCTAGATACACGAACTTGTCGACTACTTCTATCTGCTCACCATCCAGGGTTAGTACAGGATTAGAATCCTGTCAGTCTTCAAAGGTGCAAATCACATACCGTACCTACGGACACTGATTGCCAACTGATTAAATGCAGATTGCATGGCTTGGGCATTATCGCACAGTAACACAATATCATCCGCATACTCGAGGTCGAGAAGTCTTTCTCCAGGCAACAGATCCACACCTCCATTACTTACATCCATCAGAGCTGCTTCCAGAATGTCATCGATGACAAAGTTGAAGAGGAATGGTGAGGTTGGGCAACCCTGTGTAACCCCACTGCTCGAATAGAACAATGGAGAGAGGTGGTTGTATGCCCTCACTCTGCCTGAGGTGTTTGCATATAGGGCCCTTAGGGTGTTAATAAATAAGAGAACTATGTTATACCGCCAACAGGCTTGCAGGAAAATATGGACCAGAGCGATCAGTCAGGAACAAAGAAAAACAAACCAATTACCGAGGGTCAAGAATAGTGGGACTGGTGAGTAGAGCACATTGAAAATCCTACAAACGGACCCGCGCCGCCAAAATCACTGAACTTGGAAGAAACATACGCATATCTCCCTATGGATGATACCCCGCTAACAATAGCAAAGCCGTCAGACAAACAATTATTGGCAGAGTAGTAGAACCAAACAGCATACCAGTTGAAGCACTAATGTTAGATGAAGGGGCAACTGTAAATATGTTCTACGTTCTCTTGAAAAGGATTTGTGGGGGAAGAACGAGTAATAAAAAATTGAAAAGTATTCCTCGTCAAGATACCAAAATAAGGGGATCTTAGTGTGGTGTATGATACGTATGTTTGCAGGTATAAGTAGTACGTAACAACAATCGGAAGTGGAGTGGCTGCAAGACGAAGGTTGAGAAGATCGAAATGAAGAGAAGAGATAAGGAACAATGAAGTTTGTGAGAGACAATTCGAAGATGTGCAAATAATGCACTTGATGTATGATTTTCACATTCTGCTAAACCATTGTGTGATTGCGCATTAAACAATAAAATAGTCGTTCACTGAATTAGGTGTGAGAATTACAGAAGGATTATGCACACTACTCTCAGTATCAGGCCGTTTTGGCAGATTGCTGCTGAACAGAATGTAAGATTTAGAAGACACCGAACTTCGAGATTAACGAGCTGGTTTTGGCAAGAGGAGATCATGTGCCGACCAAATTGCGGCAGTGCGAACCACTGTTGAACAATCAGTTGAATGGAACACATAATGCAGAAATCTTGTGAGCGACTGCAGACAGTACCCCAGAAGGAATAGCACACTTAATTTAGTATGAACGTAAGAACATTGGTCAATCTAGCTGTTTCGTCTATTTATATTTAACTGCCTTAATCAGCCGTCTATTACCATGTAGCGGTAAATAAATCCCCAAAATAAATAGCTCTAAGTTTTCGACATTGGATGCTGACCATATGTTTTAGTGGACTCATCTAGCTGAAGGCGCTCGGTCAGGCATCCGCACCAGATCACGTGTGGTAACGCCGTGCTCAACATCAACCGCAATCGCTAGCCAGATTAGATCAGAGAATTCCGATATATTGGTCATCGCCAAATATACTCTTCCGATCTCCTCGACTCTGTCTTTTGATTTCTCTGGGCGGGAACGAAATATATTAGAAGGTGTTACTGGTAGAAGCGTTGTCAAACACTGAATACCTGTGACATCATCAACCAATCCCAAATAATTCGGAATGTCGTCCCATATCGAATAGACATCTTTAGTAAGAAGTGTCGTGACTATAAGTTATCGAGTCATTATTATGACGGTGGTTGCATATATTACTACATATTCACTCACGCAACATTTTCTCAGTTTGTTTAGTTTTTCAAAACATCAACTGACTAGAACAGGACTTTGGAGCTTTCAAGTATTACTTTTACTTGATCTTTGTATAACCATAAATAGTTAACACGTGATAACCAGTTAGTACATTCTTAAGATACACAGGACTATGAATCAGATTATTAACTATGAGGTGGTGAACTGCTAATTTCATAGAATTAAAATCGATCATAATTTCTCTGGGCGCAACAATTAACAAACACCTTACATATGGAATCCATTGTATTCTGAAACTGTTAATAAAGCGAGAACTGACCCCATGAAAGCTAAAATGGATAACGATGATAATAGTTTTAACAGGCTATTCGTTGAAAATGTTTGACTAGCAACATGTTTACAAAGAACAGAGATACGTAGGAAATTCCGTGTAGTTTATGTTTATAATAGGTCTTCAATAACCTATTTAAATGAAGAACGGTTGGTAGATGATTGATGGCAATGATTTCTATAAAATATTAACTTGTAACTGCAAAGCTTTGAACTACAACGAAAAGAAAGCTAATCAAATACACATCCTGGGTTTTTGAAAACTCACTGGCTTGAAACAGATGGATTAAGGTTAGCAGTTGGTAAACATATTCAACCACTAGTCCATATCTGGGAAATGTTTAAAATTTGTGGAGGGTGCACCAAATGTTATGGGCTAGGATTTAACTAGGCAACTCGAAGAATTATTAAAATGAATGGATAGAACGGAAGTGAAACGATAGGGAAAGATGTAGGGTAAAACGACTAAGGTCCAGCCTACAAAAGTCCAGATATGACTAGTTCAAGCAAGAGGGTGTTGGGAAATCCATTATTTTAAGTGGGTCTTGTGGAAATCAGTTTAGTCTGAAGGTATTAATCGTTATAGATTAACCTCAGTTGAAGCACTATTAGAAATCAGGGGGTTCGTTTGTTGAAGTATGGAACCCCGTCAGTGTTCACTTACGATCCCACTCGGGGTCAAATACAAAATCTTATGGTTTCGCGGTACCCTAATTGAGGTCAATCTGTGACGAGTACCATCCTGAATCAAGCCGACAACGGAACAAGTAGTTAATAATATATCCAAGTTATTAGAATAAACTAAGTTTGTAGATTTAAGTACTGTCTTCTGAGTGCACTTTAAATAAATAATACCCAAGTATGAATCTGATAAATGTCAAAGGACCAACTTGAAAGAATCAACGTTACTGTTTCGGAGTAATATAGACATGACTGCAAAATGTTATACAAACAGTATAGTGAGACGGAACTTATAAATTTAAAAATTGATGCATAAATGTTTGTTATATTGAGGACATGAGAGGATAAACAAATGTTACAGAAATTCTAGCTCTTTTGAACTGTGGAGAAAGAAAATTTGGTAGGCAAATAGTGAGACTGGATTCTTGATAATACACTATTTAGTTTTGGCTAGTAGTAGAATTCAATACGATTTATCTTTATTACCATCCATTTATTGAGTTGTACACCAAACACCTTGGTAATCAAGGCGTACAATAAAAAAGTTAATGTTACGTGATTAAATAAAGTGGATGACAATAAGCTGCTAGTAAAACTCGTGAGAACAAGAGGACTGAATATAGAAGTAATATATGGCAGATTTATTTTTGTTACAGACCGATTTTTAATTTCATTCAATCAGCAACCGGGAGATTCAGGTAAATAAACTGATTGATATCGCATAATTTTGTTTTTAAATACAATTTTTACTAGCCTGCATTTACAATAAGACAAGTTATTCATATTCATGTATTATGGTGAAATTACCCGTGTAGTATTCGGTTTTCTAGTTCCAATTACAGAAGGTATTTTTGTAGGACCAGGTTCAGATACAGGAGAATTGAATAGATTATCAACGGTAGGCCCAACTGACTGTTCCAGATTCATTTCTACCAAATATGAAAAATGTATTTAGCAGTTTTATTTGAACATGATTTTGGGGTTTAAAAACGTTAGTATTTATTATTGGCTATAGCCAGTTGTAGTGAATTTATTTAAAACAATCGTTTATTCCTTTGACAACTATTCAACAGCAGTCTAAAGGAGAATCAGAATCGGTGAACAGGGTTGCAACACAGGATACGAGGATCATCAAATCATATCAGACAAATTAAACCTGTTTATAACTTTTGACAAATCAGCATATCTCATTACGCCATTTTCGATACATAAAGACGCCAAAGTCTGAACTATTTAGGTCATTTTACCGTAATTCCGTAGAACTCTTCAATAGATTTAAATAAATTAGAATAATAATCATGTTTCCAATTTATCCGCATAGTATATAAGGATAAATCTTTCCATACACTACTTTGATCAAACAGTGCAACAGTGGGGAATAATATAACATTTTATTACATCACTATCAGTCCAGAAGCCGAATTAGGCCTAGAAAACGTGTGGTGTTGTTTAAAGCACATCCTTCTATGAAGAAAAGTGGCGGATATGAAAGTCTTGGATTTTCACAGCAAACAATTCTTATATCTGATGGGCGCCATGGTAGATAGCGAAAATCAGTACGGTCAACGATTAGTTTCCAGAAGGATACTATATGACATAGATGATTAATTAGATGGTATTATCTTCACTGAAAAACGAAGTCTGTTTTTTGAAGATCCCATTAACCTAACCAGTCAGGTATTAATAATGCGCAGGTAATTGAGGTACTTGTAAATAGACAAGTTAATTCAACTAGTGTGTATGAAATAGGACTCATAGATCTTAGTAAACGATATCGCCAGGTCATAATTTCTTTGAATCCAATATATATAGAAACATCAACAAGACAATCAAGTAATCAAAACAGTGAAGGTTTACAAGTACAATCGTTAAAAATGATAGTAAATCTTGTCAGGGATGAACTTATTCAGTACTTTACCATTAAGAACGGAGTTGATAAATACACCTTAATAATAATTATATAGTTTGAAACAGCTAAATATTTATTGCAAGACGTTTTTCAAGATGTCGATATTTCCATAACCAGCACTTATGTCAACGTTGACGACTGGTTTAAGTTTCCTAAAATGCATCTACGTAAATAGTTACAAGTGTGCAACAGAAGGAAATATAGTAAAAATTTTCATAGTTGTCCCAGTAAAATGAAGTCAACTATCAGGATCGTTCTAGAGTTGTAGAATAGTATTTTCCGTCCAATGGAGTAAAATGTTGGTTAAAAGTTGAAAAATACGGAAATTATCATACACGTTTACCTAGACGAACCTTTCCAAAGCGATAAAACAAGATTTATAGAAAAAGAAACGAGTTTATTTTATTCCAGAGATTTTCTTCAACTATATTCAGCAGAATAAATATGGAAAGTCGATTATTCCTGATGAGCAGAAAAGAATTAAAAGAAAATATCGACACCCCTAAATACATTTTATATTGCTGAGATACATTGAATACCTTCAATATAATAGGTTTGTGGGTCTACAAACATGGGATCTTAATTCGCAAAAACACTTCTCGATTAGAACACGTGCTAAATATTAGAACTTTTGCACTTTTATAGCATCCGAATTGTAAACCAGGTATAAGTGGATAATATGGCACGTCATATACTTTCGTGGTTGGTGATAAGATAAAAAAGTTAAGTGTTCAACTAGTGTGGCGCGTATATATCTGGTGGCCCCTTGTACCAATATTTATGTGTTCAAATAAATAAAGACTAACGGGTTCAACTAGTGCAACTATCTTCAAACGGCAGATCATTAAACTCTGAAGTCATACTTGTACTACTGTCAGAGATCGACAATAATAGTTTTTCCCCTTTCTAAAGAAAAGAAAATCATTTTAGTACAGATAGTCGAGGAGTGTTTACGGAGTCTAAATATCATGAGATCAATTTTCAGATTTCCCACGAATCGTTTGAATTCGTTACCAACTTTCCTGCACTACTTTCAAATGCAGAGTTGACAATTTAAATCTAAAAAATGAAAGTTGGGATTAATACTTAGTTCGGGATTCAAAAATCCATGAGGAACTGTTCCAATTGCACTACTATGAAAGATTTTGTCCTATGTCATACAATCCCTTAAATAATTGATTTTAGGTATTACGTTCGGCCCTATCTGGAAGTCTGCATCCCACAACATGGCTCAGATCAACCGTATCTTCACATATATGTCCATATCTTACAAGCATGCGTGAACTGGGAGACGTGATAAGTCGCGGAATGCAACCGCCAATTCAGATACCCTCCGGTAGGCTGATAACCCTCAACAACGGGAATGCTATATTGATTTCGAACTCCATTGTGTGCGGTTTAATAGGTTGTGATTAATTCGAAGTAAAGGAGAGCAGTACATCAAGAACATTAATTGAACTGATGGAGACAGTATTCGGGTTTTGGAATTATTTATTTTTATTTATTTGAACACATAAATATTGGTACAAGAGGGCACCAAATATATACGCGCCACACAAAACAATCAGAATTCGAAGAGAGAGAAAAAGAACAATAATGAACAGATTAGTGTAAGGTAGTGTAATAGTAATAAAAAAAATAATAATAGTAATGATGGGGGAAACGGAAAGGTACAATCATAAAAAATCCTTCAGTTAAGAAAGAAACAACCATTTTTTTATGAAAAAAGTAAGGGAAGGTTGCAGCAGGATCGCCACTGGCTTCTATTCTGAGCCATATCTGATAACGTCTCTAGTCACTGTGCTGCACCATCTCTCGGACCCCAGCCAGGGAGTCATGGAGGACCAACAGAAGCCAGCCCTTTGGAGCTTTCTTTCATACCACGACACCATGTCATACACTGACCACCTCTCCGCTTTTTCCAACCAGTCCCAGCGTCGGCAAATAATGCGCGACGTGGAGTTCTCTGGGACGACATTCGTAGAACATATGCAAGCCACCGAAGTCGATGTTTCAAAATGGTGACACCAATTGCATAATCATCTCTGTCCCCGAACACACGATGCCGAACCTCTGTATTTCTAACATGGTGTTGCCACTGGATGTCAGCAATCCTTCAGAGACAACGATGATCAAACACAGAGTCGTATAACATTCTCAACTCCGAGGGGCCAGGTTTCACAAGCATAGAGCAGAACTGCTCTCACCGACGCTATTGTATATCCGACCATTTACAGTCAGACTAACATTACGAAGGCGCCAAAGATGGCCCAGATTGGCATAAACTGCTCTGGTTTTCACTGTACGTGCATTGATCTCATCACTCACGCCACCACCAGCACTTATGCAGCTACCTAGATCAGTCAGTCAGTCAGTAACAACGTAGAACTTCGTACGTACGTACATCAGTTCGAGTTGCCACACCACATTAGCACAGAGATGCAGTTGTCGATTCAAATCCCATAGTGGTAGAGGTAATAAGAGTATAAGCAGTAATCGGGAAGATTAGGGTTTGGAGATGTTATTTATAGAGTATAATCCAGTGAAATAAATTTTGAAAGAGGAAAAAAGGGACATGAAGAATTCAGAAGATTAGAATTTGAGAGAACACAAAGAGTGGATGCACCTGCGCCATTGCAAACGATTTTGAGCCATGTCATTCAGGGTCTCTAACCATCGGTTGCTATCATCTCGCGGTCCCCAACCAGGTAGTCTATACCTACCAACATGACTCAGTTCACTTGTCAGTGACTTCATGGACTTGTGCCATGTTTTGGTTTGGCCGCCCCTAGCTTTCTTCCAACCTACTCCTATACCACTGAACATAGCACGTCGAGGCAGTCGGTCGTTGGGCATACGTAACACGTGTCCCAGCCATCTCAACTGATGAAGTTTCACTACTTCATCAATTGATTTGCCATCCTTACCTAGTACCCGTTTCCTAACAACTGTGTTACTTACTCGATGGTCCCATGATATACGAGCAATGTTTCGAAGACACCTATAATCAAATACTAGTAGCCTACGGATATCCTCTACTCTTACCGGCCATGTTTCACAGCCATAAAGTAGGACGGAACGAACTGCTACGCAGTAAACACGTCCTTTGTTTGATAGACGGATATCTCGCCTACGCCATAAATGACGCAAGTTGGCAAAAGTTAGTCGAGCCTTCTATATCCGTGCTGAGATTTCGTCACACACCAGACCACAAGGGCTGATGAGACTTCCAAGATAAGTGAAGCGGTCGACACACTCAATTACTTCACTCCCTATCACTAGTTCGGGTGTCGATGTAACCCAATCCTGAAGCAACATTTTGCATTTCGAGGGAGAGAATCTCATCCCGAACATGCTTGGATTGTTGCTTAGAGTGGTCAGAAGACTCTGCATTTTGTCAGCGTCTTCACCAAATAAAACTATGTCATCAGCATATTCTAAGTCAACAAGTGAACCTCCCGGTAGAAGTTCAACCCCTGGAAATCTAGATGAGGAAAGTGTTATCTCTAGAAGTACGTCCACGACAAAGTTGAACAAGAATGGGGAGAGTGGACAGCCCTGACGAACACCACTTGAGGTAATCAATTCTGATGACAGTTCGCCATAAGCTCTCACTCTATCAGTTGTGTTCGAGTAGAGAGCCTTTATAAGGTTAATGTACTTCTTTGGTACTCCTTTCAGTGACAAACACTGCCATAGAACCTCACGATCAACAGAGTCGAATGCCGCCTTAAGGTCGAGAAATACTACCATTGTGGGGCGCCTGAACGTGTGTCTGTGTTCTAGAACCTGACGTAGTGTAAATATCTGATCTATACAACCACGTCCAGGTCGAAAGCCAGCCTGATTTTCTCTAGTCTGCTCTTCACGAGCTTTGATTAGGCGTCGAAGTATTATTGAAGCTAATATTTTAGACACTATATTAGTCAAACTGATTCGTCTGTGATTGTCACAAGAGGACTTTTGTCCTTTCTTATAGACTGGCACAATCAGTGATTGAGACCAGTCAGATGGGATTACGTCCAGTTCCCAGATTCTACCTAAGACCTCAGTTAATCTCACTGCTAATACTGGACTACCATCCTTAAAAATCTCAGGAGTAAACATGTCAGGGCCTGCTGCTCTCCCTCGTTTCAGATTTCCTATGGCTTTTTCAACTTCGTAAAAAGTCGGAGGACCTACATTAACTTGCCATTCAGGTTGACTAGAGATCGTGGGAAACCGAAGTGTGGCTGAAGGCCAGTTGAACTGATCCCTAAAGTGTTCTGCCCATCGATCCAATCTCCTGGATTGAGAATGAATAATATGTCCATCTTTCTCTGAGATTGTTTCGCTAACGGTCGGGTTCCTAATTCCGGTTTCCTTAACGAGTCTGAACAATTGTCTGCTATTACCTATTGCCGCTGCCTTTTCCATCTCTCTTGCTTTCGCCACCCACCACTGTTCGCGATCATTGCGTAGGCTTCTGGTCAGCTTGCGCTTAAGCTGACTCCGCTCTTCATTATGTTCAGAGCCAGGTGGAATGAGTTTCCGAGCATCTATCAGTGCGATAGATGCTGCTGAGATCCAGTGTTGCTCCCTAACCTTACGGGTTACCGTACTAGCAGATATCACTGCTGCCTCCACAGCTTTTCGGATATCATTCCATGCTGCCTCGGGGTGGGCATCACATACGTGGCTGCCTAACTGTTTTCCTAGTTGTTCCTGAAATATACTCTTAGCTTGACTATCATTAAGTAGGCCCCTAAGAGGTTTTCTTGCAGCGTCTTTCCTACGTCCAGTAAGACGCAAGCTACCTAGATGCACGAACTTCTCGACTACTTCTATCTGCTCACCATCCAGGGTTAGTACAGGATTAGAATCCTGTCAGTCTTCAAAGGTGCAAATCACATACCGTACCTACGGACACTGATTGCCAACATTCTCAACTCCGAGAGGCCAGGGTTCCGATGATGTTCTGGGATGAACGACTGCATTTAAATTAACGTGATGCCTCCAAGTGCCCTGGTACGACCGAGAGTGGGGAAAGCGTGTCCACCCTCTTGAAATACTCTCACACGGCCACACGTATACAGCCTCTGCCAGGGAAGTCCGATTCACTGCCTTCTCGTGGTGGGGGTCTTGTTTACGAAAATGAGAGGACGAAAAGCAAATGTCCGGCGCTTTAACCGGATTCAAAACCAATGGTGCACATGGGCTCCAGTATCCTGTGGGAACAAATGGCGTATAAACCAGTTTCTTAGTCACCGGCTACAATAGGACAGCATCTCCTCACGACGATCAACTGCCTTGTGGGTCAAACCTTTAGGTCAAAGGCTCGGGGTGTGGCCCCTTAGGGAAACCACCTGCTTCGGTCTGGGCACCCGGGCAGTATCACAGCCCACATACAAATAAAATGAAAATGCCGATATTTACTCAAAATTATATTCACGATTCTATTAACAATCAAACAACCAATATTATTATTATTATTATTATTATTATTATTATTATTATTATTATTATTATTTAGTACGTCACTTATTCACTCTCATTCTCACTCTGTGTATCTTTATTTTTCAACTTATACATCAGCTCGCCTATGGTAGAAATTCGGCTCTATCTAACGTTCTCGAGTCACTGCCTGATTGAAAATTGAATGCTACCACCAAACACGAATGCTGAAGCAGTTTTTCTGAAACCACGTGCACCATTCAACGTTCGCACACTTATGCAGGTCGGACAACAGATAGGGCTGGCTATGTCTTTGGAAAGTCTTAACATCGATGTTTGTTGTCTATCAGAGACCCGTATTCAACACTAGTGAAGTACTACAAATTAGCTCTCCATCTGTCGCTTCGAAAACCTTGTTTTACATGCGCTTATCAGGGGACCCTGTGACATCTTCGTCTGGTCTTGCTGGCGTTGGTGTCACACTAAGCGCTAGAGCTGAGGCAGCACTAATCGATTAGATCCCCATTAACAGTCGGTTATGTGCTGTTAGATTAGAAAGCTCCATCGAAGTGAGAAGAAATCGTCATCTCCGCCTATGCCCCGACAGATTGCAGCCCGGATGCGATCAAGAATAAATCTTACCACCAGTTATCTGTTCTTCTCCAGAAAGTGCGTTTGACAGATATTGTAGTACTAGCCGGAGACTTGAATGCTCAGGTCGGGCGTCTAGGCACAGAAGAGAGTCGTTTAGGTGGCCGATGGGGACTCGTTGGTCGCAGGTCAGATAACGGGGACCGTCTACTGCAACTGTGCACAGACCACAACCTGTTTCTGGCTAGCACTAACTTTCGGCACAGTCATCGCCGATGTGCCACCTGGCGTCCTCCCTCTGCATCTCAAGCCTGGACTCAGATTGATCACATCGCGATCAGCTACCGCTGGTGTAGCTGTGTACAGGACTGCCGCTCCTTTTGGAGTACCTATATGGACTCTGATCATGCCCTGGTCTGCGCCAATCTTACCTTGCTTTTCAGTGGCCAACGAAGTGAACGTCACCAAAGAATTGATGTCAGCAAGTTGGTTGCAACTTCTGTTGCTAGTAAGTATCGATCCGAGCTAGCTTCTAGGCTGGCTACCATTCCACCGAAAAGTATAGATGAGCATTGGTTGCAATTTCATGACGCCATGAAAATGGCGAGTAAAGCCGCTTATAAGCACTGGGTTTCTTCAGGCTCCTTACAAATCATAAAAGCCCGTTGGTCTACTCCGAGTGACCGTGAGTTTGACAACAAACGAAGGATGTTACGAAATGAAATCGGACAAAGCTTGCGTAAGGACCGACGAGCCTGGTGGTCGGAGCGTGCTAATGAGCTGGAAGCAGTATCTGCATCTGGTAACTACCGGAAGCTCATCCAACTCATCCGAGCCACTGGCAGCAAGAAGTCTGATGTGGACGAAACAATCTGTGAGGATGATGGGATGCCAATCACTAACATCCATCGACGTCTTGGACGATGGGCAGAATTCTTCGAAGGGCAGTTCAACTGGCATGCTGCTCCGGCAACATCGGTCAACCTGTCCTGCCCTCCATGGTCGGTGACGACTGATCCACCAAATGAGACGGAAGTCCGCATGGAACTCCAACTCTTGAAGAGCTACAAATCACCGGGCCCAGATGACTTACCTCCGGCTTTTTTTTAAGAGGTGGTGACTTTCTGGCAAAGGAACTGACAACGTTGTTTACAAAAGTCTGGGAACTAGAGAGTGTACCAACGTCATGGAACGAGCCGATATATATTTTCCATAAATCGATAGTTCATCATTTTTTGTGTTTGGGCTGTGATACCACCCGGGTGACCAGACCGAAGCAGGTGGTTTCCCTAAGGGGCCACACCCCGAGCCTTTGACCTAAAGGTTTGACCCACAAGGCAGTTGATCATCGTGAGGAGATGCTGTCCTATTGTAGCCGGTGACTAAGAAACTGGTTTATACGCCATTTGTTCCCACAGGATACTGGAGCCCATGTGCACCATTGGTTTTGAATCCGGTTAAAGCGCCGGACATTTGCTTTTCGTCCTCTCATTTTCGTAAACAAGACCCCCACCACGAGAAGGCAGTGAATCGGACTTCCCTGGCAGAGGCTGTATACGCGTGGTCGTGTGAGAGCATTTCGAGAGGGCGAGCCCGCCCCACTCTCGGCCATACCAGGGCATTTGGGGGTTGAAGTTTGCGGAAAATGAGTTCCCAATATAAACATAGCTAGTATTAGAAACGTCAACAAAGATAAGTGATAGTAGCCTGCAGAAGAACAGACGGGTGTCGTTTATGCATACATATTTCCGAAACATTTCACATATCTTAGATTTTGTGTCCCTTACCTTGTCTAGTTTTTGACTATGGTTAGTATTACCTTTTATCCTAAAATTAGTCATTTTGCGCTATTATTAACATCGAACACTTAAAAGCTATTTCACGTGACAACAGCTTCAGTTCTCGATTTTCCATGTTTAAAAAAGTCCGTAATAATTTTAGTACCTGAAAAAAACATGCTGGTATAACTAGACCGATTTCGTATCTTATGTAATACTGGATCTAGACTTAAGGAAGCGGCTATCAAGCGACCGAACCTGTTTTACAAATTAATGTGATTTTATTTTTAACTAATTTAGGAATTTTGATGAACGATGATTACTTAGTTTCGAAAAAAAAACATTGTGGAAGTACTTATAACTTGGTTTTACTGACTTTAGTGCATTAACAGAAGGCGGATCAGTCTTTTCGTAATTGATGGGATATGTGCGTGGAGTAGCGAGTCTGGTTAATGTTTAGCATACGATATAGAAGATGCGTTTAAATATAAGAAATCCCAAACTAATTAACTCAATACTCTCATCTTCTATGTTTATGTACTGATGCTTACAAAGTGATGTTGACGCTAAAACGCATTGCCGCAACCCTTTGACATTCTTTATTTGAAAAACTTTATTGAGTAACTCATTTTCAATACGAAACAGGTTGAAATGTTATCTGACACTGTCAGATTTCGGACAAGCAAAAAAGTTCCCGGCAGTCGCTAATTAAGATAGGAGAGCCTCTATACATTTCTGATAGAAAGCAAAGTACCAAAACTATTGATAAATAAACCATATTCTCGCCACCTATCAGTACAGTTATGCAATTTACAAACACGTACACAACTCACTTGTTGTTACTATCACAGGTTCATCATTTCTAATGTCAGTCGTACCACTTTCAGTATGTTCCTCAAAAAAGTCAGCCACCTGATCACGTTTGAATTTTCCTTCATCAAGTTCCAGAGCCAACTGTAGAAACTAAGACGGGTAGTGACTGGTTACCTTGTTACCATGGGTTTTAACAGCGTCAATAGCAAGTTTTTCCAGCTTAGCACGGTACAGTTGGGAAGCACGACTTTGGTATTTTTCCTGAGCATCCAGGGAACGACAATTATTTTGGGAGAAGAAAGTAAGCTACAAATAATTAGTAGGAGATTCATGTTTACCGCATTTTGATTGCCACCAACTTGCATTGCGCGCAACTGGACCCAAGTCCAGTTAGTATCTAGCTGAGTCGATCGAATGAAACTTAGATGGACTCCAAGTGAACGGTGGACTGCCGAACAGTCAATACAAAGAAAAACACCGTAGGTAACACTAGCCCATGTTGGATTTGTGGCACCACAGTCAAAGCATTGCTGTACAAAATATCATGAAGCAATGACAGAAAGTACCTTGTTGCACGGCAAAGACTTAAGCTTATTTAAAATTGTAACTATTTCATGTTTTGTTGGTGATACAGAGACCATTTCGTCCTGCAACAGCACGAAACAATATACGTGGACTAATGTGACGCGCACTCGAAATAACGCGGCGTTTCCAATATCTAATATCGATTCGTCTACTTGGTAAAGTTGAAGAGGAATGGTGAGGTTGGGCAACCCTGTGTAACCCCACTGCTCGAATAGAACAATGGAGAGAGGTGGTTGTATGCCCTCACTCTGCCTGAGGTGTTTGCATATAGGGCCCTTAGGGTGTTAATAAATAAGAGAACTATGTTATACCGCCAACAGGCTTGCAGGAAAATATGGACCAGAGCGATCAGTCAGGAACAAAGAAAAACAAACCAATTACCGAGGGTCAAGAATAGTGGGACTGGTGAGTAGAGCACATTGAAAATCCTACAAACGGACCCGCGCCGCCAAAATCACTGAACTTGGAAGAAACATACGCATATCTCCCTATGGATGATACCCCGCTAACAATAGCAAAGCCGTCAGACAAACAATTATTGGCAGAGTAGTAGAACCAAACAGCATACCAGTTGAAGCACTAATGTTAGATGAAGGGGCAACTGTAAATATGTTCTACGTTCTCTTGAAAAGGATTTGTGGGGGAAGAACGAGTAATAAAAAATTGAAAAGTATTCCTCGTCAAGATACCAAAATAAGGGGATCTTAGTGTGGTGTATGATACGTATGTTTGCAGGTATAAGTAGTACGTAACAACAATCGGAAGTGGAGTGGCTGCAAGACGAAGGTTGAGAAGATCGAAATGAAGAGAAGAGATAAGGAACAATGAAGTTTGTGAGAGACAATTCGAAGATGTGCAAATAATGCACTTGATGTATGATTTTCACATTCTGCTAAACCATTGTGTGATTGCGCATTAAACAATAAAATAGTCGTTCACTGAATTAGGTGTGAGAATTACAGAAGGATTATGCACACTACTCTCAGTATCAGGCCGTTTTGGCAGATTGCTGCTGAACAGAATGTAAGATTTAGAAGACACCGAACTTCGAGATTAACGAGCTGGTTTTGGCAAGAGGAGATCATGTGCCGACCAAATTGCGGCAGTGCGAACCACTGTTGAACAATCAGTTGAATGGAACACATAATGCAGAAATCTTGTGAGCGACTGCAGACAGTACCCCAGAAGGAATAGCACACTTAATTTAGTATGAACGTAAGAACATTGGTCAATCTAGCTGTTTCGTCTATTTATATTTAACTGCCTTAATCAGCCGTCTATTACCATGTAGCGGTAAATAAATCCCCAAAATAAATAGCTCTAAGTTTTCGACATTGGATGCTGACCATATGTTTTAGTGGACTCATCTAGCTGAAGGCGCTCGGTCAGGCATCCGCACCAGATCACGTGTGGTAACGCCGTGCTCAACATCAACCGCAATCGCTAGCCAGATTAGATCAGAGAATTCCGATATATTGGTCATCGCCAAATATACTCTTCCGATCTCCTCGACTCTGTCTTTTGATTTCTCTGGGCGGGAACGAAATATATTAGAAGGTGTTACTGGTAGAAGCGTTGTCAAACACTGAATACCTGTGACATCATCATTGGTGAGCCCGACGTGATCTGGTACACCTTATGGCAACTGTGAGTCTGTTCCTTTTTGGGATTTTTATATATCATTGCCTTATTTTTTTAATTTCTTTTTAAACATTGTGATTTTTTTTCGTGTTTTTTCTTGGATATATTTATATTTTCCCCTCGTTCATTATCGTACTTCATACTTCATCATAACTGAACAGACACCTAAAGTACTCAAGCTTAAGACTTTGTCCCCACCTTAGTTTCAACTGATGCCTTTCTGGCCCGACAACATCGAAGCCTGGTTTTGCTACGCAGAAGCCGATTTCTCCGAGCACGGCGTGATCGGCACACGTGCACAATTCCTCGCTGTAGTCAAGGCACTACCGCGCGAATTCAACAGGTACGTAACACCTAGTATGTTTACTAGTGATGTTTCCGATCCTTACGAAATCTTAAAACGCTCGATTCTTAAACGAGGAGACCTAACCGATCGACAAAGGTTAGATCAACTCTTCAACAATATCGACCTGCAACACGGTTCTGCGACAGACATGTTGCAACGGATGAGAGAGGTTATAGACGCAAGAACTTTCGACGAAGGTCTATTCAAACAACTCTTCTTGTCAAAACTTCCTAAACATGTGCAAGCAGTTCTGGTCTCGTTCCAGAACAACGCCTTAGACGAGCTAGCTGCATCTGCCGACCGCATTTTAGAAATTACGAAATCTACTACCGAGGTATTTTCAGTCAAAGAAAAACCTCAAACGACTCAGAATGATATAGCCGACTTATGTCACACACTCACGCATTATCTTAGTCTTCGTACCGACCGTAAGAGATCGCGCACACCACGTAGAAACATTTCTCGTAAGTGATCTGTCTCTAGACCACGAGAGACAGATAACCCCGACTGGTGCTGGTATCATAACCAGTATGGAAAGTTTTCCAGAAATTGCAGAAAACCCTGCAATTTTCCCAACACGAAACCGACTGATTCGAAAAGCAATTCGGGAAACTTCCAAGCCGGCACGCGTTAACGGCAACCGTAGCCGGCGAACAAAGCCGTCTGTTATTCGTCACAGATGTGACAACGAGAGTTCGCTACCTCGTCGACACTGGCGCAGAAGTTAGCGTTCTCCCAGCAAATCCTAACGACCGGCTTCAGGAATCGGCTTTTAACTTACAGGCGGCAAACGGAAAACCGATCGCTACGTATGGCAAAAGGTACGTTTACCTTAACGTGGGTTTACGCAAACCCATCCACTGAATTTTCGTTGTTGCAGATGTTTCTATGCCGATCATTGGTATGGACCTTCTACAACACCACAATCTGATCATCGACACTCGCAAACGGAGGCTAGTAGACGGAAACACTGATTTGTCCGTTTGCGTAACTTCCTTTACCGGTTGTAGAGTATCCCCAGTCACAGTTAAACATATGATAGACCCACATTATCAACCACTACTCGATAAGTACCCTGGGATACAACAAACTCAACCGGAACTACCGTGTGTAACCAGCAATGTTTCACATCACATCACGACTACGGGACCACCTGTATTCTCTAAAGCACGACGACTAGCTCCTGAAAAGCTAAGGTCAGCGAAAAACGAATTCAACCACATGATAGACTTAGGAATCATACGACCGTCAAGTAGCCCATATGCATCTCCGTTGCACATGGTCCCTAAAAAGGACAGCAACGATTGGCGTCCAACTGGTGACTATCGGCGATTGAACGCGAAAACCATTCCCGATCGTTACCCGTTGCCTCACATTCACGATTTGACAGCTACCTTGAAAGGTACAACTGTCTTTTCGAAAATCGACTTGGTTAAAGCGTATAACCAAATCCCTATGGCTACTGACGACATACCGAAAACAGCTATCATAACTCCTTTCGGACTCTATGAATTTTTGCGAATGCCTTTCGGTCTAAGGAATGCTGCTCAAACATTCCAAAGATTCATAGACAACGTTTTTCGAGGTCTCAACTTCGTACACGCGTATGTTGATGACTGTTTAATCGCAAGTCCGGACAGAGAATCACATCTCAAGCATCTGGATCTTGTTTTCGAACGACTTCAAAAACATGGCATAACTGTAAACGTTCAGAAATGCCTATTCGGAACCGACTCGTTAGACTTCCTAGGACACACTATCGACGCTCAAGGCATTCGACCTCTTAGGACCAAAGTGGCGGCCATTCTGGATTACCCAGAACCGACCACCGTCAAGCAATTACGCACGTTTAACGGTCTGGTAAGTTTCTATAGACGTTTCATACCGAAATGCGCATTACTTATGAAACCTCTGACCGACCAACTTCGTGGAAATGCGAAATCCATTAATTTGGACGACACCGCACGAAAAGCATTCTCCACAGTTAAGGAACTGATCGCTAAAGCAACACTGCTTGCACACCAGGACACCCGAGCACCCATTAGTATCGCAGTAGACGCATCCGACTTGGCAATCGGAGGAGTCTTACAACAATGGGTTAACAACTCCTGGCAACACTTGGCATTTTTCTCTTGAAGGTTGCTAGACACCGAATCGAGGTACAGCACATTCGGTAGGGAACTCCTAGCTATGTATTGTGCTGTACGGCATTTCCAACACTATATCGGAGGCCGTGAATTCACTCTTTTCACTGACCATAAACCGCTCACTTTCTCGTTAAGGTCTCCTTCTGACAAGTACTCTCCCCGTGAGTCTCGACGACTGGACTACATTTCGCAGTTTACTTCAGACATTCAACACATCTCTGGAGCAAACAATGTAGTTGCAGACGCTTTATCTCGCATAACTTCCTTGAACAGTTTCCAAGGAATCGACCTTCTTAAACTCGCCGAGCTTCAAAAAGAAGACAGTGATCTTCAGCACGAGTTATCCTCTACAACCCTTAAACTACGCATCAAACAGATGGGAACAGGTAAGGAAACCTTACTTTGTGACACATCTACAGGTAGGGATCGCCCAATCGTGCCGAAACATTATCGACGCAATGTCTTCAATACATTGCACAAACTTTCTCATCCAGGCGTTCGTGCAACCATCAAGCTTATAGCAGAACGGTTTTGCTGGCCTGGAATGAATAAAGACGTGAGGGAGTGGGCACGCTCCTGTGTAAGCTGCTAAAAACCTAAGGTCATCAGACACAATAAATGTCCCTCAGGCTCATTTAAAACTCCCGATGCTCGTTTCGACCATGTTCATCTGGATTTGGTAGGACCTTTACCAGATTCAAATGGATACTCTTACCTCTTAACCTGCGTAGACCGTTTCACTCGATGGCCAGAAGCAGTACCTATCAAGGACATCACTGCTGAAACAGTGGCCCGCACCTTCGTCGAACGATGCGTAGCAAACTTCGGTTGCCCTTCAACCATCACTACAGACCGCGGACGTCAGTTTGAATCTGATCTTTTCCGTCGTCTGACCACACTATTAGGAATCACTCGCTTCCGAACGACCGCCTACCATCCACAAGCAAACGGGTTGGTAGAACGTTTTCACCGACAACTGAAAGCTTCGCTATCAG